ATGTATGACAAGTTGTTTTTTAAATTGATATCTTGCATCAGTGAATTGGCTTTTTCAAAAGCTGCGGAAGATTCAGTATCGAAATTTGAAATAACATTTTTTATTTTGTCAAAATGATCACAATAGTATTGGACGGCTTCAAGCCACGTACCCCACCTTGTTATAATAGGTTCAGGAGGCAAATTAAGATCTGGATACATTTCTTTAAATTTCGAAACACAACTTGAAGCTTTTAAGAATATTTTTTTAATGATCGCTATTAATTGATCAACCTCGGAATAATTACATCTTATTGTTTCTGAGATACGATGAAAGCCATGTACTAAACATGTCAAATGAACCAGTTTAGGGAAAAATGCTGTCAAAATACTACCAGCTTTAACCATATAAGGTGCAGCATCGGTCAAAAATAAAAATACGTTTTCATATTTTACACCATTTGGCCATAATAAGTTCACAGAATCATTAAATAATTTAGCAATAGTTTTATTATTGCATTTTTCTAATTGCACACAATTTAACAGAAATGATTTAGAAGGCTCAGAACGTAGTTTGCCGATGATTACATTACCAATATACCTGCCCTCAGCATCTGTTGATTCATCAATTGAAACCCATATTGGTCCATCTTGAATACACTGTATAATTGATTGTAATGTTTCCTCGTAAATTATATTAACATAATTCTTTCGGATGGTGCTTTCATCTGGAATTTGTTGTCCGGTATATTTCTCTAAAAAATCTGTAAATTCTCGATTTTTTAGTTTGAAAATAGGAATATCAGCGCGAATCAACATACGACACAAATCGGTATTAAAAGCTGACAAATTATTGGAAGACGTAGTTGGCTCTGAATTCAAGAAATTTTGTTGAAATTTTTTTTTACGATCTCTATTTTGTTGGTGCTTAGATGTAGATATATGTTGAGTAATTGAAAAACGCTGATTTATTGATACTGCCTTTTCGCAGCATGAACAGAATAAGATTGCTCCATCAGTTTTAAATGTCTCGTTAGGAAACTCTTTTATATAAAAATTCGCTTTTGATTTCGATTTCACAACTTTTGGCATTTTAAAATTATAAACTAGACGTCGGCTAGTACACGAGATTACGTTTTAAATGCATAGAAACTGCGAATGCTACTAAAGACGATTGTCGAGTACCTAAATACTCGACAATGTAGGTACCACTTCCTTATTTTATATTTATATCGTCAGGCATTAACAAGAGGTACTGAACAAGTTCTAATCTATATAGTGGCATGCCACGTGCCGGAAATAAGTACATACCTAAATGCCATTTAGTTAACGATAGTCGATTATATTTGGTGGTCGTCAAAAATTACTTATCTTGTTAATTTAGACGAAACAGATAATGTTTAAAGTCGTCAAAAATTGAGAATCACTAAAATAAGCACTAAAATATGTACTTATTTACCAAATATGTAAAAATATGTATTTATACCAAAATATGTAAAAATATGTAAAATAAAATTGGGCTTATTTTAATAAGAATGATCTGAATCGTGCACATTTTTTATCAGATTAAAAATATCTCATTCTAATAAAAATATGTATTTACAATAAAATCCGTTCCCTAGTCATTAAGGTAACGAAGTTTGACTTATCTGTTTCAAAAATAATATTAAAACTACTTCAATATACCTATTTATGGTTATAATAGTTTTTATGTACATCCCCATTTGTATATTATTTGAAATTGTATACATTTTGGCTGGACATGTTTTCTTGGCACATCGCCAACGAGTTTTGCTACATTGACTCTCATGAGCAAAAGAGAATTTATAATTATTAAAAATTAATAATTTTTTCCTCTTTCCGACATTAACACTTCCATTGTACCTACTTTATATTACGAACCACGTATATTACTAGATGTCGATCATATAGTTTGCTAATCAACTAAACGATCACAATTTATGTGATAATATAAATGATGTGCCGTGGTGGAGAGACGTCTCGCCAGCACCCCCTACATGAAAAACTAAAAATAATAACAAGCTTGATATATTAATAGTTAGCACGCGATTAGCATGAATTTGCACGACAGACCCCGAAATTCGCACGTGTCTGGTTCGCGAGAAAAACCCGTTTGACTATTTCGCGCGTTACGCCAGCACCGCTTATGTCTAAAAATTGTCATGTTGAAATTCAGTCACCATAAGCATATGAATTATCGGGCGTATGTAAGTTCCTACACGAGAGACGAAACTTACCCAGATAAAAAAAATACACATGTTAGTTCCTACAAGATACTAAAAGGTACGTATGTTAGTTCCAATACACGGCGAAAAAATTATATACGTAAATTCTTACACAGTAAAAACTATATTAATTCATATTATATGAAATGTTCTCAAACTGATTATTATGTCTTATAAATAATAAAAAATTCACATAATACCTACACATTCATAATTAAATAAACATATGTTGGTTATAAAATGAAATAAAAATCGCATATTATGTACCCAACGCATTTTCACAAATAGGTAAATATTAAATTATGATTATAAAATCCTACATAGCCCGTTCGACTATTTCGCTCGTCTCGCCAACTAAGTCGGTCATAGAAATTATATAATTATTATTTTAGAGAAGTAATTCTACGCAGCAAAGGAGTTAAAATTAAATACCAATCTATATCGGAAATATATTCCAATGTTTTATCCCTATTTGTCGTGATAACAAATGAAACTGATGGAGTTGATGCAGTAAGAGGTAGAGACACTCCATGGGAGCATCATAAAAAAAAATTAATTGATATAACATCAACGGGTTTTATAAATTTTGAAGAATGGTACAATCGAGTGTTATCAACTGTTGACTCTGAAGAAACTATTCAAGATTTAATTGAAGAAGTAGATGAATCACAAAATATTGATATGGATAATGAAAAAAATCCATTTCAGATTTAGGCTGAGGAAATATTTGAAAAGAGCAGTGAATATATTCTGGTATTAATGTTATGTATTTGCCCTCATTAGTGCCATTAATAATTAAATGCATGTAATTTTTACCTTTGTGGTAATCCGAAGAAATAAATTGCCTGGAAAACTCAAATGAGCGTCTCTCTTTTGTTTCATCAATTGTTAAAAAAGGAATCAACCCTACAACGTACTAAGAAAGAGCTCAGATATTATTAAGTTATTTCGAACTAGAAACAACCAAAATAGATGTCCTAACCAATGTTAGATTTTATAATCATAATTTAATATTTATTTGTGAAAATGCGTTAGGTACATAGTATGCGATTTTTATTTTATTTTATAACCAACATATAATTATGAATATGTAGGTATTATGTGATTTTTTAAAATTTATTTTTAATTTGTTATGGGTAGGTTTTGTCCCTCGTGCAGGAACTTACATTTGCGCTATAATTCATATGCTTATGGTGTTCTGAATTTCGACATAACAATTTTTAGACACAAGCGGTGCTGGCGAGACGCACGAAATAGTCGAACGGGGTTTGCACGCGAACCAGGCACGTTGATGCTAATCACGTGCTAACTATAGGTATATCAAGTTTGTTATTATTTTTAGTTTTTCATGTAGGGTGGAGCTGGCGAGACGTTTCTCCAGCACCGCACATCATTTTTTGTCATACAGGTGTAAATTTTGTCATGCAAATTTTGGCAATAGTCATGCAATTCTTGATAATTACATGCTAATTTCCTGTAAAAAAATGTTTAAATTTTTGAATAGGCGATGTTGGCGAGACGGTCCTCCCGCCGGCGGCCCTACGATACCGTATTTGTGTCACGCCAATACTATTTTCGCGGAACGTTCTGTATTTGTTCTCATAAATAACTTCGGACATATTGATCCTATTAAAATAATTCTGATACTGTCGTGATCATCGATAAGCTCTAAATATAGATATATTAACCTTTTTGTATGGTAGCCGGCGGGCATATGGCGGTAAGAAATGATTTTTGTTACTTGTACGGCACACGCACGCCGCGGCCCCACCATACAATTGCTTTTGTATGATTCTATTTAGATTTATTATCATTTATCATAGTATTTATAATTATCATTTTATCGAATATGAAAATTATTATTTTCAGTGTGCAGTTGAACGTAGTGGACTGATTGTATTACTACGTAAATAGTAAATTTTTAGTGCCCATATTTTTAATAAAATTGAAAATGAAATCGTTAAATACATCGAAAAGACAACGAATTAATGATAGTGAAATCGAAAATGAACTTCGGGACTTTGATGATAGTGACCTAAGTGATTTTAGTGAATTCGATGGTTCAGATGCCGATAAAGATTTCCATGCATCATCAGAGAGTACAGACGGATCCAGTAGTGGTAAGAAACATTTATGCACAATATTAAGTATAATATTCTATTGTTTAAGCTTCTAAAATTCACTCAAGGTGATCCTGGTAATTTATGGTGGTACTTTTGAGAAAAGTAAAAGATGTGAAGATCCACATCGTAAGTATTATCAAACAGTTTACTTCATTGCTTTTGACATTTATGTTATATCTTATTATTATCTAGCACAACGAAACAAAATTGTCNTATTCAATTTTATTTTATAACACATTCAACGCCGGCGACGCGTATACGCGTCATTGGAAATTGTACGTGTACTGCCGTCGACGCGTTTAAGCGTCATGTCTAATTTTACCGAGGCGCCACGTGTAAAATGCAAGTGACGCGTTTATGCGTCAGTGGCCAAAGAGAAGAAACTTATAATGTTCGAATATTTTCCTATTTAATCTACATTTATATTTGCATGAAAAGTACTTACTCAATATCAATATATATAATAATAATGAGTTATAGGGTATATTTAATATCATATAAAAATTGGATACGATTTTTTATTTAACTTTTATTGTATTACTTCTTATACAAATCATCTTTTTACATAAAAATGGTGTCAACTTAAAATAATGAATAATTCTGTTTAAAAATATAATTAAATTATAAAATATAATAATTTTAATACGATAACATTACATCATATGGTATTTTTTAAAGCATGGTTCTAAACATAAGAGAGGTTTTTCCTTGCAACCTGAACAAAAATAAGATGTATCTTTAAGATTTCCAATCTCACCACAGTAACGGCATCTCTTTCTTTGTGTTTTGGAAGACTTTTCACTTTTTGGTAAAAGTTCAGGAGCATGCATATTTTTATTATCAGATAACGTAGATGACAGTGGTTGTTCTTGAGATTTTTGTAATAGTTCTCGTATGACGGCTAGTCGAAATGAATAAAATGATATTTTCCGTTCATTTTTACAATATAAAAAATATGAGTTAAGTAGTAGCTGTTGCGTAATATGAATGAACACTTTTTTATACCAACGAAGGGTTTTCCGTTCACACGGGTAATAAGATAACATCTGATCCTGACGATCTACTCCCGACATAAACTTGTTATAATTTATAATAGGCACTGGCTTTTCTTTCTCGTCACCTTTCCTATTTTTCACATTCTCTAAGTCTGCTTTCCATTCAGTCGATAAACCTAATACTTTACGTTTATCTTTCCACTTCAACACGCATATTCCATCATTCGTATATTTTGAAATAAGTTCTCCAGTTTTCAATTTTTTACTGGTTATTTCCTTTGGATTATTTTTCCTGTTCATTCGTAATGTACCGGTGCAATAGGTTTGTTTTAACAAAAGTTTGTGAGCTAAATCTACGCTGTTGTAAAAGTTGTCCATATATAAAGAATGGAAATTATTTAATTTTCCTTTCATTAGACTCATAACTACGTCCTCAGTATGACTGATAACCTGAGGTCGGTAAATCTTTGTGAGTTTTTGACCGCAATAAATAAACATTCTTAAATTTAAACCCGCTGATTCAGTAAGCATATATAACTTAATACCGAATTTATGCCGTTTGCCTTTAATATATTGACGAAATATCAATCTACCTCTCCATAAAATCATTGATTCGTCGATTGATAAATTCTTTCGGGGTAGTAAATATCATCCATTTTGTTATTAAAATAATTTAAAATGGGTTGAATTCTAAAAAGTGTGTCATTTTGATTTTCATTGGGATGACCGAAATGCAATGCGCGGAGAATAAGTAGGAAACGATTTCTACTCATATGTGTACGAAAACATTGCAAATCGAACAAATCATCAGTTTTCCAATAATCTTCTAATTTATTTAAACGAATAGTGCCTGTATGAAAAAGAAGGCCTAGAAAAACTTTAAATTCATCAACAGTAAGATCTTTCCAATGTGAAATACGGGCCTGCGCTGACGATTTACTTAGTATTTCTACTGCATACAAATTGGTTTCATCAATAACTAGATTATAAAAACTATCAGATACCAACAAATTAAAATAATCGATTTCTTTATGTCCTGCTGTTTGAACTTTCAAACCAGAATTTTGAGAAAATATAATCGGTTGTGATGGTTTTGGGTTATTGAACCATTTATCCCCTGTAACTAGTGGTCTAAAATGCTTATTATTTACCGGTACATTGTCTTCTGATGACATTTCTGAATTATCTTCAGAGCTATCTGTTTCCGATTCACTTGAAGAATTCTCGTTTTCTGATACATCCAACAATTGCAACAACTGTTCGTCGGATAGTGCATTTGTTTGAAATTTTTTACGCGAAATTTTTATTTTGTATGTAAATTTATATGCATAAACCCAAAGAGTATTTTGTACGAATAATATTGTGAAACATAAACAACGCCACGAGTCCCGACAACGCGCGACGAAGAACAACGTAAACAGACTGTTGGTTTGTCGATAATAGATAGTGAAAACTGAATAGTAGCACGTAATACAGATAATATTGTTATAACATTATAACATAATAACATAAATAAAAATAGACATTTACGTAAATATTATTTATACGTGCATCCAATGATAAAAAGATTATAGGGAAAATCCAGTCTAAAAATAACCGATTTCCAAAACCAACCATAATTTTTGTATTTTATGATTTTTCCCTATGGCCACCTCAAATTTCAGATAATTACGATCAAAGCCACAATAATTAAATGGCATTGAAATATATAAGAAATTGACGCGTAAACGCGTCAGTGGCCCATTGGAAAAGAATACATATGACGCGTAAACGCGTCAGTGGCCAAATGAAAAAATATCGTTACGACGCGTATACGCGTTTCAATATGAACCTTTGTACAACAAACCACTACCTTTAACACTTTCAAAATGGACAGACTTACAAAAACTAAAAAAATTCTTGCCTCAAGACACTCATTCTTTTTACGATACACTTTTACACCTTCAAGATTTTAAAGCCAAAACAGGCAGTATCTAGTTATTAGACTTTAATAATAACCAATAAAATACAATTTATTTGTTTCATAAGTTTCATAATAATATGATGTCCCAATATTTTATTATTATT